TTGGATTGGCGCATACATGCAAATACGCATTTCATTGCACTTGTGCATATGACAATAAACTGAACTGGTCTGGCTCCAGAAAAATTCCCTACTGTATAAATGGAGATTAATGTGAGATGCCTTTGAATTGGTGCCACGCTGGGGATATAATTATGCAATCTTTTATTGAACAGATGAAGCTCACAAACTTCCACTGCTGCCACTAAAAAAATATCCCCCAAACTGGCACAGACTTTACACAACAGGGCCCTCTAGTGGCTAATACCATTCACAGCAGGAATGAAGGTAATGAAGCTGTTTATTAGTAGCTGTATTACAGCTAACGTATGTACAATATTTAGTAGTTCAGGTGGGGAGCTGCGTCAGCATGCGTAGGCTTGCAAAGGAACAAGTAATAGGTTTATTCCCTGCTGAAAAAAAAGAAGAAAGAAAACACAACGTTTCGGCCGTGGAGCCTTCTTCAGGTGTGCAGGGCAAAATCGGCGCCGCATCATCGATCGGCGTCCACGGCAACGCGCCGGCTCACACGGCCCCACCCACACCGGAGACGGCATTCCTTACTCTGAGCTATCACACGGAATGTAAGTGCAGTCAAATGATTCTTTAAAATAATGTCGTGAAGTTTAATTAAATAGCAGTTGTCGCCTTATCTTTCTGTAACTGTTGTCCTAAGGCGGCTGTGTCCAGTTCAGGGGGTCAGCTCACCGCGGTTAATTACAGTAGCGTCACACCACTCCACCCTTGTACTGGGGGGGTAGGGTTTCTAATGAACGACACCGACCTCACTTTACAGCCGCATAAACCAGACTTACTATACAATATTTAACAAATATTGACAGTTATATCAATATTGACCCACTAACATTTTTCGTACTTCGTACTGGTCTGTTAGTTTTCAGGTGTTACACCTAGTGTCTTAACTGGCTCAGGATCGTCCTTTTTTATTTAAAAAAAATACGAAAATACGTCGCAGCAGAAAACAGATTTTCTGTCATTCACTTCGTAGGAATCCCGATTGTAACCGATTGATTATTTTAGGTTTATTGGAAGCCCACGACAGAAGCGGTCTTGGTTTTTGTCTTGATGGGTTTGCAGTCAGGATGTAGGTCGCTGGGCCGCGCTGGCAGTCGTGATTCCTGCCACAAGAGGGCGCCCTTGCGCTCTCAGGCGCGACTGTAAGACTGGGCTTTTCCTTCCCAGGTCCTGGCTTGTAACACGAGTATTCAAAAAGTCTGCGTACTTTACTTACTGTTATACTCTTCTAGATTTTTAGTTTGTATTTGGAAGTCATATCTGCCTATGAGCTACAGATATAAAATCATGCAAGTTAATGTTAGCGTTTTAGAGGAGAAAGACAGAAAGAGTGGCTGTAGAATGAACTTGTGCTTTGCCGGTTCCCCATGTGGTGTGATAACTCATCAGTCCAGTAGCTGAGAAGAGTATGTCAACAGGGGTCTGTGGTGGAGTGGACTGGAGGAGCTGGGCGTCTCGTAGTTCTGGTCTAGACGGGCTGCTGTGTTCCTGATGGTCCTGTCCTCTGCCCTGCCCTTCACTCCGGCCCGGCCTGGTCCGAGCCATACTCTTCCTTCCTCACTGGCCTGTGGTTTTTCCTTTTAGAGATGGAGGGAAGTTTTTCATTTACGGTGGAAATAAAACACTTGTCTTCTCAGTCCTGATGCTACACACTGTATTCTATGTATCCTGCTGAGTTACGTAGGCAAACACCCTTTCTGAACTACTTTGAGGTGTTGGGAGCCTGGAAACCGTGGTCAAGGTCTTCATAGAACTAATTCAACGTGAGAGTGCCGTTTGAGAAGAAGGTGGGTGTCTACTGTGACTGTCTAGCAGGGAGCTTGTGAAACCACGTTCTGCACAGGACCGCCAGTGTGCAAACCAGCCTCAACCAGGGTGGTTTTCAACACATTGTGCACCCAGGTTTCTGAGACAGAGCAGATGTTTGAGGACCCCAATCTGGGGGTTTGTGTGATCTCCACATGGGCTTGGATTCCTGGCTGGACCTGCTAAGAGAGTGAAGGGTAGGGTGGGAGGTTGCTGTAAATGTATCTGCTGTGTTCTACCCTTACGGGGCTTTGTTGACTTCTGGGTTATAGGGACCTAGAGTCACAGAGGGCTTCATACAGGTTGGTTCTTTTAATAAGCCTCAAATAAGCTTTTCATTCAGTTTATTTAGTACTGTTTTGAATGAAAAGTGTAGTAAGAGTTGCATGCTTACCTGTCCAGACAATTCTTAATTTCCTTTATCTTCCAGAACACCTGTTAAACAAAGAGTTTCTGTGATTGCTGGTTGTTATGCACATATAGACTACATAGTGGTAACATGAATGATGTAACTAAATCAGAAAGCTGTGTCAGAAAGAGGCAGGGCAGCATCTAGTGATGAGGCCTGTGGGGTACAACAGAGTCACTCCAAGTCTCTGTTAGACTGAGGTCAGAGGTCAGAGGCCAGGCCACGGGCAGTCATGCAGAGGTGAATCCGAGTGGGCGATTACACAACTGGGAAGACCAAATTTATTTTCAGTCTTACCCTCAAAGTATCAGTCAGCTTGTTGATGGGTTTGAGTTTTGTCATAACACAAGACGTGATAAAAACAGCATATATGTTTTTTAAGATGTGTGATTAGATGAAAACTGGCTGTATGGCATTAATTCAAAAAGTCATGGCCATTTGACAACGTGTGACAGATAGAAGATGCCCTGCCGTTTCTAAAGCACAAGGCCGATTCTCCACTACAGGATCGGCTCATACAGGCGGGTGAAGGCCGGCGCTGCTCTTGCAGCCCAGCAGCATGAGGATCACAGGACTTACTGCCACAAAAACAGCCGACGCAGCAGTGATCGCAAATATGAGCCACTTCTTTGATCTGAATTTCGATTCTAAAACAAAATTGAGTACAGTGTTAGCTGTGAAGCACTTGTTTTAGATAGCACAAAAACATTGGTAACAAGCAGCTCCTTGCTTTTCTGAAAGTAGCTTAACTTACTGGGGGGGGGGAGACTTTGAAAATATGTACTGTTAATTATGCATTTGAAATAATAAGGGCAGGAACAGGTTGGAATATTAAACTACAGAATGTCAATGACCTTCCTGTCTCAGTACTGAACCTCCCGAGAGCCACTTCTCACTTCAGGCACAAGCCATTTGAATTTGCTGCTGCCGGCAAATGAATCAAACTGTGGAGCAGGCAGGAAGTGTTCACTTTGCTATCTGAGGGAGCTGTCAGCTGCATGATGAAATCTTTTCTGCCTTGCCCCCTTTAATATGTTGTGACCTGTTATTTTATTTGTTTTATAATCGATTGTTACTTTCTTTCACCGTTTTGTCTTTTGTGCAACGTCGGCGTCTTGGCCAGGACATGGTTGTAAATGTAAATGTCTTGCTCTGCGCTGTCTTGGTTGGGTTCTGGAATTGTTCTCAAGTGTCACAGTAAGGAGGCTCCATGAAGTGGGGGCCAATTTCACAAACAGTTTGATTTCAAATCCCTCCTGTGCCCCAGCCCTGAAACACAGGCTGCACTCACTTGTAATTGTGAGTTGTAAAGGGAAGCTCCTACACTGGCGGCAGGATGCAGTATGTTGGTGTCCTGTATCATTACGGAAAGCTCAGTCACCTGGAGATGCGCAGGTTCTTATTGCCACCAGGTTAAAGACATCTGGGGTCTTGTCTTCCATCATTCAAGAGCATCTTATAGCTGTAGTTTGTGCTGCATCTTATTAATGAACATTTTTTAAATTATTTTTCTTGAATGTGAAGTGTGCTTTTTGTATAGGTAGGTAGTCTTTTTCTTTGCCTCAGTTCAGAAATAAGTGAGACAGAACTCTTACCTTTTCCTGGTTGGGTGGCATTAAACTCCTTCTCAAAGGATATACCTGGAAGAATTCACAAGTGAGCTCAGGGCAGAGAACCTAGATACACTGACAGGTGCAGCATGTTGTATAACTCAACACCTGAACGGAAGGAAATATCTCTGATTCCAGATTGATTTAGACGATCCTAAGAAGGAAAAACGAATTGTTTTAAGAATCCTTGTCCAGTGATTAGACATGCTGTGTTTCATTTCCTGAATATCATCTCTCTTACTAGAACTACAAGTGGTAATGTCAGGGGGTCTGGTAGCATTGACATGGAAGTTTTAGTGAACACATTAAACATTACATCTGGACCTCAGTTTAGTGTCATAGTTTGATCTGCACTTTCTACAACAGTGGAGTTTTAAAAAATACAGTAAGCCATTGTGCTAGTAATGGATTATGGTAACTGGAAAATGGCTTGAATTGGAACTAGATTTGTAATATTACACCATTGGTGCTGCGCTTTTCCATTGCATCTTTCAATTCAGATGTGATTCTGGGTTTAATTACCAAAAGAGAGCTCATTACTTACTCTCTTGATCCCTGGCTGGGGCACCTGAAGAAGAAGGAGCAAAGGTGATAGTGAGATGTTGACTGCTTCTGAAAGCAAGAACATGTGGTAGTTACAGGTCGACCTCACTATTGTCTAGTGGGGCTCTCTGGAAGACCATCTGAAATGGGTCTTCTAGATTTTCTCACAATCCAAGGGCAAGTCTGGAAATAGCTGCAGTGCATTCTGCATGAGTCTCTTCCGAGCCTCAGTACTCACAACAGTGAAAAAGGAGCAGGGATGAATCACTGCAGTCAGTGTGAGGTGATGTGTCCCGTGCCTTAATCCTGTCAGGTGTCCTTGAATGAGCCTTCTCATTGTGAGTGACGAGGCACGTCAATTCGGCCTACAAGCCTTCAGGCTTATAAGATCCTCTTGTGTTGCTGTCAACATTGTTTGTCTGCGTGGCATTGGTTAAAAACAGTCAGCACCCCAGATGCAGGCAAAACCGGTGTGGTGAAAAACAGAGCAGGCGCAGTATGAAGAAGGAAGCTGCCCAGCAGGCAAAGGCAGAAGGATCAGCAGGGTCTCACCTTCCATCACTTCTGTGGGAACACGGTGCAAGCAGAGCAGCTGAACGCTGGAGCACCACTTGACGTGTGTGGACGAGATGGCGCAGTGCTCTGATGAACGGTCAAGCGTGCACAGTGGTTCCTTTCTGCCATTTATTTCGTAACATTCCCGGGCTGAGAACTCCTGGAGCCGATACTCGGTGTCGGGACCTGGGAAGAGAAACCTTTACAGTCGGCTGATGACCCCGAGTCTGTTGTGTGTTATCAGAGCTATTAAACACTTTAATGTCTTGTGAATTGTGTAATACCAGTTGTCTTTAAAAGTTCTAAAAAGGAATGAAAATTAAAATGAGATTGAAGGGTACACGCTATGAAATCCTCTGATTTAATTGGCCCTTCACGTGCAGTAACACCGAATTCAGCTGCAGGTGTCCGAGTGTCCAGTGTAATGGTGCTGTACAGTATGGGATTAGTCTTCAGCTTTACCTTCGCATGCTGCCGCAGATACTGGCCCCAGCGTGAGGGCAGTGAGGATGAGGGGAACGTGCATTTCTCTGGGAGCAGGGAGAACATGCAGAGAAGGTTCAAAATAAATCCACATTAATATTGTGCCTGCATGGCTGTTCTTTTAGTTTAGTAGCAGTTTGCT